GCAGTGCCAGATCCATACCGCAGGGTGATTCAATGTGTGTTCTGTCCACAGGGTAGTGGGTCTCCAGAGGCAACTGAGCTCCAGCCTGATGGACATCACTACATGACCAGGACTGTCCAGCAGGACTGGACCACTATTCTCATCCAAACACCAGGAGTATCTTGTGTGTCCCGGGTCCGAAAAACAGCATTACTTGATCCAGACCCACAAGGCTTTAGATTCCAGCTCTCGAATCCTATATCAGTCTCCTATATAGTTTTTGCTGTGAGACATGTAGCTGCATAGTTTATGTGCTTTCTCTTTATGGGATTTCTTTAAAATTGTGTTACCTAGTTTCCCCAGCTTTAATTGTATGATTAATTAGCAAAATTGTAATGACTGTTTAATTGTGAGAGAACCCAAAAATGTCACACACAGCTTGGGCAACAGGGCCCTAGTGATCGAAACAGGTCACGCGTTCTCAGAGCAACGTCCGAGTCATTGGGCCCAAAACCAGAGATCACAATATTGTCGGGAACGACAAACACCACTACAAACTCGATCCGGACATCTGACTGAGACTCTGGAAATTCCCCATTTTAGTTTCATACTTGCTCATGAGTCCTAGCAACTTCAGCTGTTTTTTTCTATCTCATTTTAGCGCTACGAAATAAAATATTCATTTTCCGTGCAGGTTTTATTTTCTAAACCAAATGTCGTTATTTATAGATTTACTGTTTCATTATTTTCAGTATAAATCGGAAATATTTGGGCTTGTGTTTTCATCATCTTTAACGTGTTCAGAAGGACTAGCCTTCTGCCTTGTCACTGTGCGCTGTCACACTGAGCTGCGCCTGACTCAGCTGGGATAATCAGGATAACTTGTGTCTAAAGTGTAATAAAGATGTTGACACAGAAGGCGTGATGCTTATGTTGAGAATCTAAATAGATACTTTATTGATGCCCAGAGGGAAACTGCAGTAAGGGTTGTGTGACTGTCTAAACGCTTCATAGTGTTTAACATAATAGCTCCCTGGCTGAAAACCTAGCACCTCAACTTCACTCTTGGAGCTGGCTCCCTGGTTCATTCCTCATGAAGGAGGTGGGTTGTGACAGTGCTGATCTTCGCTCAGTGCTCTCAGTTCCTCAGCCAGCCAAGCTAATGTCAAACACTGGAGTATTAAGGAGTATGCGATATCACCTGAAGACTACATTGACTTTATACCGATATGTATACTGATGATAAATAAATGTAACTTATACTAACATTACAGTATTTTTTCCCATATCAGCCTACTATATCAGCTGTATATGCATCTAGGTTTCTCTAAACTTTATGTTATGAATCGATACTTTCAAAAGTGATCCGTGAGACAGGGTTATACAATAGTTTGTGTCCACAATTGTATTTAAATGATTTGATTATTCATGTTTTTTTTAATTCCTTTATGCTGGTGAAGATGGTAGCAAAGCTGGGTGTTTGCTCTCATCCATAGAGAAGCTGGTTAAAAAATATCAATCCAAAGTGCCTCTATCCTGCCAAAAAGCCCAGAAGATATACTTTTATCGTGCCACGCAGGAGTAATTTCAACACACAAATACGCAGAAGAAACTGGTCAATAGGCTTGCAAACAACAGCCTGTTACAAATGCCAAGAACCGCAAGGGCAAATATCCACCCATT